CTTTTTTTTCTTTATTTACTAAATCATTACCTTATAGTTCCGGTTATAGCTTAAGAATATCTGTAGAATAGCTTTTTGTGTTCGTTCGTTTCGCTCGCCTAATCACCATTACTCCCACCCCCAAGAAAAAGCTGAAATGACATCGCAATCTGAGGTGGCATATATTGTAATACCTTGGAATCCGATTAGCCAGCTCGTTATCTTACACTATGAGTACTTTCTGTTCACTCAGGCCTGGGACATTAATGTTAATAATTAAGATAGATATGTGAATGATAAATCAGCGCAATTCACGTTTCTCATCATGTAATATTATTCTCAGTGCAGGCGCAGCACTGACTGAGAGTGGCGACTTGCACCTCGTATATCACCTCCAGGCGATGCATATTTCAAAAACCTGTGTGCCGCTTGGTGACATACCCACATGCAGGCCTTTATAGATAGTTGTATATGTATGGAACATGTTTATGTGTGTGTGTTTATACGTATATGCAAATACATGTATTTACTCGTTTTTTCTGTGTTTGTCTTGTTCAATGATGTAATTTGTGTCGCTGCCGACGCCAACGTCTTCTATTTGGACAAGTTGCCGCTAGGCGCTTTCCCCCCACGTGCCGCGTCAATCTAGACCTTGGTTCAGTGTAGCCACGGCTTTAAACCACCGCAATCAAAAGACTGTTGACACGTCATTGATTGTGGACTTGTCTGTATGTATTGATTCTAGTTTGTCTTTATGGACGGTGCCTTACTATTTCAAGTCAACCCTATTCAGAACACACATCGACTCTTGATAATAGCTGGGCTCCAAAGTCCAGGATTGGCGGTTTAGTTGTTTATTCTGTGTTTTGTTTTTCCTCTTTCTATGCATTTAAGAAAAATGAATTTATTTGCTTTGAACAAAGTATTTTGTATACAGGCATCACTCATTTCAGATTTCTACATTGCTACGTCGAATTCTTGTTTGTGTGTATTACGTCACTTTTGTAATTATCTGCACGACTGCACGTTGTTTAATTTATGGGTAATGTAATTCAGCTGTTGTTCCTATTGTGATATGGGGAACATTTTAAGAAAGGTGACGATAACTTTTCTTACAACTTACATAAACATGGTTTTGGAATTTTATAAAATCCTTTTCTCATCTAAAAATAATGATACAGACTGATCTCTTTACTGTAAATATATGTATATATATTTTATTAAAGTCATTGAGAGAATATTCTTATTTAGGATTCTTTTGCCTCTTTATGAATATGTTTTCCTAATTTTTGACTCCATTGTCTCATGTGATATGGATAATTTTTTATTGATATGTTTTGTCATGCTGTATCATTGCATTCATCCTCATTTTCTTGAAGATTTAATATTTTTTATTTCTTTTACCTTTGAGATGTATTCAATGGAAATTTTTCTTAACTGCACATTATTTATTGATCACATAATTACTCAATCTAAAGATAATAAAACATGCATAATACTTTCATTCTTTATTGAGAGCAAAACAATAAAAATCACATTTGACAACAACAATGACAATCTTATAGTATAATACTGTAAAGCCTTTTGACTAGATAACATTCTTTTATAGATATATCAGTACCCTGTAAGTTAAGAACATAGTTTAACATTATTACAAGCCAATAAATGTTGTACCACAGTAAAACCATGTTTCTGATGCCAGTGGTGAAATATGTCACAAGGATAAACACCATAATTCTTTTGAGGGTGGTATACTGACTAAAACACTTTGAAGAACTAGTGTCATAAAATACATCTACATGTATTTACTTAAGTACTCATTTATATATATTTTTTTGCATTATGCTTTCCTCAGTACTCTTCCATCTCAACTTTAATTTCTGCTATACTTTCCACTTCAAAAAATGGTTTCCAATTTATAAAATTAGATGATTACAGAGATCTTGGTTACTAAATGTAATGTAAAATAATACTGTACTTTATTAGCTTTTTCTACAAAATAATAAAAATTTAGATATAAGAATACTATTTTTCTCTTCTTAAAAACCTTAATATATCAATGCAATTGTATACAACTATGCTTAATCTACTGCTAGTGTCTGTATAAGTATATGTAAAACGTATACTGATATGTGTTGTTTATAAGTATATGTAAAATGTATACTGATATGTGTTATGAGTAAGTATATGTAAAATGTATATTGATATGTGTTATGAGTAAGTATATGTAAAATGTATACTGATATGTGTTGTATAAGCATGCACACATGTATGCATACATGGACATAATCCACTTTGTTGAAGGGAAATTTATACAAAACTTAACTCCGCAAATCACACTATAAGCTCCTTTTAGCACAAAGATGTATGATATGCCTTCACTTCCAGTACTGGTATGTTTATTTTTCCTTCTATTATTTAACTTTATGATATACTTTATAGAAAATTACAAAAGTACTGAGGGATCTAAAAATCTAATTCAAATGGTAATCTTTGTAAAAAAAAATATATATATGAACATTATGAACATGGGGTATAATTATTTTCTAACTCTAACTAACATTAGTAGATTCATAATTTACCAATCCATTTAGGACCAGTTTAGCCACAGTGTTTCCTCAGTTATTTATATAATTACAAAATTCTTAAAAAAAAAAAAAAAAAAAAATCAAGTATGTATGTAGTAACTAGCCAGGTTCCTATAAAGTGCTCTTAAATATCCCTTTCAGTTGAGTTTGCCTTCAAATTTAAGTTTTTTAAATATACGGAAGTTAACATTATAACCACTATTCCTCTGCACTAAACCCATGGATAATTTCTTCCACAAATTAAAATGTCACAAGATAAAACACAATACTCCATTGTACTAATATATCTTAACTACAGTATTCTACAAATGCACTAGCTTCATATACATTGAAATATTAACCCTTTATACTTTCCTAGTGCATCCATGCTAATGGCTTGGTTCATGGACTTGGATGAGGCTGACAAAGGTCCCAGAGATTACTTTACTTGGCAATTTATGTAGTTTTCTAATTATTTGACAAACTTGTCATACAGCTCATTAATTTCTGGGAATCTCTGTTCTCTTATTATAATAATAATGACAAATTCATCATTATGGTCAATGCATCATCACTAAGAGCAGGGCAGACACCTCAAGCTATGCACGTGTTGTGGCCAACAACTAAGATCCCCAGACTCAAACTACTTCCAGTTGGTCTTCTCAGAGATCAGAAAAATTCAAAAGATCTGACACAGAGGCTTCTGAATTTATTCTGTACTACTGACAACCATTGGAGCCTTATAAGACATTTCATCAGGCTGGCATTAACTGGGATAATATTAGCAAACAGATCTCTCAGAGATGCTCAAGATTTTCAGATACATAGGTTTCATTTAACTGACATTCTGTCATATTTTGAAAGTTTCACTTCAATTATAACGTGAAAATTTATTATGAAACTTTATTTCTTATTAATGATATTATGTCTGTGTAAAGTATTCCCTATATTCAAGACACAAATAAGCAAATATTTTGACCACTTTAAAAGCACAAACACAACATATTCACACTAATCTTGGTAAAAAAAAAATCAATTCTTTTAAATTACATTATATCAGAGTACAGTATGCCCTGTACGAGTAAATATCTCATTAATATCTAACAATGCACCACTTTAAAAGCCTAAACATGTCAATCCCTTTGAATATCTACTTACAATACCTTTATTAGTAAATTGCAAGTAAAACCTTCTTGAAGATTGTGCAACAGTCAAAGTACTTTAGTATAGATACAAAAGAGAGATAACAAGCTTAACTGGAAGTTCTTATTGCACTATTGTTAAAGTTTAAATGCAAATTCATGGCACATTTTCAGTCAAAGGTTTACTTTACATTGATCATGGAGAGGCAAATCACAAGGAAAATAAATTAACAAACACCTAAAATGAAGCATATCAATGGATATAAGTAATACTTCAAAATGATACTGCCTTTCAATTCTTAAACAATACCAACTTTCACATTTTCTATCATTTTTTTCTATCACCGTTCAAAATCTATTTGTAACTGCTCTCCTTACAACTTCAAATCAGCAATATACAAATTTCTATCCAAGGCTGCTATGCCACCATTCATAATTATGCAATCTATATGCTATCCTCTCCTTAGTCCAGCTGTCTCATCAATGATGATAAATTCTAGCGTGTTGGTGTTGCTCCACTGAAAAAAAACATGAATTCCCTTTAAATAAATTTTTAGTTCACAATAAATACATATGTACATAATGGAGATGAATAATTCTACAAACAAACTCTCCTTATATCGTTCCTCAACTAAATATTACCATCCTCTCTTTAGCCCATACATAATTGTACAGATTGTAAATGATTATATACAACAAACCAAGCACTTTTCACTCACTTCCTCTGATATGGTGGTGGGTCAGGCCGTGTGAGGGTGGCATAATCCTCAAAACGGCGACTGAAAGACAATGTATGTATAATCAATTTATGTATAAATCACAGTATCTAATACTGATGTCTTCCCCTATAATACAGGCTGCATGAAACTGTAATTCAAGAACAGGGCTGGTGATAAGTAAATGCATAATATATATGCTTATCATTTGCACTGCCTATTCCTTGTGATCAATTTCTTTCCTTAAAACAATCTAGTCAGATAAAACAATGTGTAAACAGTATAATATAGCAAACATGATTTAACATACTGTAATTAATGAAAAATAAGGGTGAATTGTCACATCATCTTTGGAGGCAAGTTTAGATCACAGACAAAATATATACCGCATGATAAGAATCACTGGTCTTCTCATGTACTATGAAAAGGAAAAAAAAATACACAAAGCAATAAGATACAGCAAACTCATCAACATATACAAAAATAGCCTAAAAAAAGAAAGAAAGAAAGAAAAGGAATAGAGAAAAATAGATATATAAATGCAGAAAATAAAAGCTACACCACAACCATATACTAACGACAAAAGAAGATTCAAATTCCTTCACCATCCGAGAAATCCAACTCACCTAAGAGTAGAATTCCGAGGCAGAGTGGAGGAAGGACTGGCAGTGCAAGACCTGGGAAGCGTGTCAGCCTGTGTGGTCGTTGTGGCTGTTGAGGGATGGGGAGAGTGCTCTCGCCCCTTCAGAGCTCGGAGTGCTTCCGTGGCCCTGTGAATGCTTGCATACTGGACCATCTGGATATCTTGCGTGGCTGGGATGCTATTAGTGGGCGAAATATCATAAATTATTTTATATACATATATGTATGTGTCTATATACATATCTATATGTATTGTTTCCCTATGATAAACAGTATACACTTTCACAATTGCATGCACATACACTCTTTTTAAAATGTATTAAACTATCAATTACACTCTTGTCCAGTTTCTGTTAGCCTCAGTTTTTTTCCCCAAAATCATGCCAAGGGGCACCATGATTCTCCACTGCAACCAAAGCAGTGAAATGAAGTTAATAGAGGGAAACACTGCAAAAACAAACCATACAAACCATACCAATATCTGATACCTTGCTGTCATATAATATACAAACACTTTTCAGAAAAACACTTTCTCCTTTAAACTCTATGTTAACATACTTCACCTCTTGACTGTTACGTTCATAAATGGGAGCCAAATTAAGAAAGGTTTTACAGATCACACACCAACAGCAAGTAACTCCTTATATATCCAAGTGTCCAACTTGGCAACTTCAACTCAGAAAAGTTACAAATCATGATTCTCTTCTAAGTCCTTATGGTACTTTAATTTTCCTTGATAAGATAAGGAAAATAAGCCATCAGCATTACACCCAACCACAACTTCAGGCTTTTATCTAACCAGAAATGTCTGGAATCCTTTTTCTACTGGAGGAATTGTGAATCCTAGTAACTATCATGTTTACCAGAATAATCTGATCAAGGTACTACCAAAATTATTTCACAAACCCAATGTGTGTGTGTGTGTGTGTGTGTGTGTGTGTGTGTGTGTGTGTGTGTGTGTGTGTGTGTGTGTGTGTGTGTGTGTGTGTGTGTGTGTGTGTGTGTGTGTGTGTGTGTGTGTGTGTGTGTGTGTGTGTGTCGTGTGTGTGTGCGTGTGCGTGCGTGTGCACACAGGCATGTATGCATGCCTGCACACATACACAGGCATGAACACACACAAAAGGGAATCATGTGCCTGATCATGCTCTTGTTAATATTGCACACATTAATTCTACAGTATGTAAAACCAAACGGCACTCATTACTCATCCCATTTTCAATGAAGTTCTTACCGCGGGAAGTCATCAAAGAGTTCATCGAAAAAGTCACTGGATTGTTGGTCCCTACAGATTGGCAAAATATGCATGAGAACATTATACAAAACATTTACAAATACCATCTCAATACTCACATTTTCCTATTACAATCTACTTTCTGTTTGTCTGCCTTCCTCTCACTCTTCCTTTCTCTCATCCTCTCACTGTTATCTTCTTCTTCTTCTTTTTTTCTTTTCTTTTTTTTAATGTCTGCTGTCTATGAGTTTTACTTCCTACATTATAGTTATAAATCTTTTTTTCATTCTATCAGTTTAGAATCCAAACTTTGTATGCTCACTTATTGAGCATGATAGTGTGATGACATAAGTATCCATTCAAAGCACTTCTCATTTAGCATTCTAGGCTCACATCTCTCCAACCAAACAAACACCACCAATATTAACACTAACCATAGACCATAGCATAGTACACATCACGATCAACACATTTAAACACAAAAATTAACCCTGTTAGCCCATAGTTCATATAAGAGGCCTATCCTCACACTCACATGTTATTCCTGTGGCAGCACATAGCCAATGTAAGCAGAGCCAGGAGCACCAGCATCACAACCAGGGGGATCAGGATGGTGTGCACCACATCCAGAGTGTAGGACCGTTTTGTGATCTGGAAGAGTGCGAGGATGAAGCTGGGCAGGGTACTTTCCTTACTCTTTTTTTTTTTCATTACTACTATTCTTATTATTACTTTGATAACTTTTGCTTTGCTATTTACAATAAAAAGAAAGACATAAAAAAGGCTTTTAAAGTCTTTTTACCTGAACCACTTATTCAATTCAGTTTAAGCCATGAAACATACACAGAATATCAATGCAAAACAAGGAAAGCAGTTCACCTCTAACTGCACTTCCATAATCTTACCTGTTCACGGCTGCGAAGGTATACCCTTCCCTCATTCTCCAGGGCTGAGATCACTGGGGATCTATGACCTTCCTCATGATCACGGGAGTCGTCATGCCCACCATAAATCATGTCACCACTGTTGTCATACTGTAGCAAGTGGATATAAGAAAATAAGAGAATAATAGTATTATAAAAAAAATAGAAGAACTTCACTTCCTTCCCTCTTGCTTGCATACTTGATTCATCTCCTGAAGAGAGAGAGAAAAAAAAGAGGAAAAGAAGATAATTTTTTATTTAGCAGATTACTGACTAACAATATCTACATACACACATTTCATATGTAGGTAACTCATAACCCTAACTTGATTCTACATACAAACTTAAAGCTGCACCAGTCAACAGCAAAGTGCTTGTTGCGGAAGAAGCGCTCATACGATGTTTTCTTGAAATATAGTGGGCAAGGATGGTGGCTCCAAAGTGGCTTGACCTCCTGTTCTAGACGATACAGAGAAGATGAAAACTTTGCCAAGCTGCCGTATCCTATGTAAACCCTGTGGATATAATAAAAAAATTGGGAAATCTAAAAATTAAACAAAATTATGCATATACCAAGTAAAAAAAAATGGTATAGAGAATAGAATAAATGATCAAAAAAATTCAAATTCACTCTAAATGGAACAAGGTTACTTAAAATCATAAATAAAAGTTGATACTAGTTCGAGTCTAAAGGAATGTAAATGCAAATTTTCAAGTTTGAAAAAATCAATTACAACTTAAGTTTGCATGTGACACAATACAAATTGTACTTTACTAGTCTCTAAATCATTCAGATACTTACATGATAGTGAAAATAAAACTAAATGGAGGTTACTTAAAGTTGAAGTTCGAGTCTAAAGGAATGTAAATGCAAATATTAAACGTCTGTTACTCTTTCTTCTAAGCAAGAACGGTCAGTTTCCCTTGGATCAAATATTTTTTACAAAGGAATGTTTATTGTCCTATAATTAAAAAAGGAAAAATCAATATACTGGTAACAAATATGTATCACATTAACTTGAAATCTTAATACCAAGGAATTTAATGAGAACACCTATCTATTCTGATAATAATGATCTTACCCTTCCCGCTCATCTGGTCTGGCAGGCAAGCGATCACCCTTTTGGGTAGCAGAGGCTAGGTATGTTACATTTAGGTCAGCAGCACTCTCTTCCCAGAGGTCTTCTGTCAGCACTGACATCAATTTCTCCCAACCTCTGTGCACAAGCATTTCTTCTACATTCCTGTTTGTGACTTTGAATCGTACCTCATAGGGCTTACCTGAGAAATAATCCCAGTAAAAGTATTTTTCTCTATTTGCAATTAAGTATCGTATTCATCAATATTTCCACAAAACGGGAAAGAAAGTGCAGGACATACGTGGCTGTTCCAAGACATCTACATTGTACACTCTGTGAGAGGTGTTATATGTGCTCTTGTCTCTTTGTATCACCTCCAGCTGGAAATATATAACATCACATGAGTTATTCTAAATTTGTTTATACTTTATCATCAATACCAGTCAAATACTACAAGATTTTTCAACTGTCTTCCAGGGACTTTTAATTTGTATAAATCCCCTTCTAAAATAAGGATTTAGGAAGCTATAAAGGGTAGACATAAAAACAAATTTCTCAAAGAAGAAATACTGTCTTCTGATGGCATACTGACTGCTCATCACACACAACCATATAATACTGGAGAAGCATAAATTCAACTAGGAGTAATATTTGGTAAATTGTGTAATGCACATTTTCTTGAAAGCAATTAAATGATCAATTCATCTGGTACGGCTTCTGCAAATTAAATCCAACAGATATTACTTCTTACGGAAACCAATGTTTTTTTTTTCTACATTCACACATGCATCTGGAGGATAATCTGCTTTCTAAGTGCACAGCTATAATATGACTGTTCAATCATGCTGGGGAAGAAAATCATTTTATTTATTTCACCCATTAAAAATCAGTAGAATTCAAGAAAAGAAATGTTTAATGAGGTCAGAGTGCTATTGCTGCTCCATTCCTGGGCTATTATCCTCCTCATTGCTAGGCTACTGAGGTGTCGATCTAGCTCATGATATCATAAGACTTCACCCTGCATTAGTGAAATTTACGTCATGATGTAATAAGATATCACCCAGTAAGAATGGGTTAAGCAGAACAACTGTTAGCTAAACTACAACTATACTAAACTCAATATAAAAAGTTAGCAAAACAGAACTTTGTAACACTGTTATTTAACCCCTAAAGGACAAGTAAATTCAGAACTTCATATGTGTGCAAGATGGGGGGAAAAAAAGGACGAAACTCTAATACCAATATAGAAATATATGTAGTTGTACCACACAGACCTATGTACAAAAATGCTGTACATTGTGTGCCCACACAATGGAAAAATATAATACTCAATAAAATGTAATAAACACATTGAAAAATATAGCAGTGAAACAGCTTTTCTGTCATTTGCCATATGTAACCAAATTAAGACAATATCTATTCATCATCCTTTATGGGTTAAGGAATTATTAAGCAAATCACTACCGTAAAAATTGTGAGAATCAGTTGACTAGTGATTAGAGTACATCTGGTTAAACAAGAAATCAGAAAACTATCAACAATACATCATTCCAACAAAGACATCTTATCATAACCTCAATAAATAAATAAATGCACAATCAAAACAAATTTGAAAACTATGAGGACTTTTACAAAAATAAGCACATTGCACCAGCGACAAATTTCTAATAGAGTAACCAGTTACATGTATTTGTAAACATGCCGAATTCACGTGGAAAAGTAAAGAAAATAATATATAATAATAATAATTATAATAATGATAATAAAAAAATAATAATATTCAACCTCTAACATCAAGCAAGTTTGTCTTAGAAACTTGGTCAGGAAGTAATATTTTTGTACTGCATGCTCACAAACAGCAATAAATAAATGAATAAATAAATAATAAATAAAAATTAATAAAACAGGCAAAATGTTTATATAAATAACCTCTCAGAATAAGCACCACTCACTTGGAATTCAGATAAACCCTCAGGTGGCACTCCGTAAACAAACCCAGAGCGATTAGCAGGAGAGTATGAGTAGTGTAGCCAGCTTGGGAGGTCTGGCATATTTAATAAGCTCGGTCGGTAAGTGACATCTGGGAGGAGCAGAGATGATAAAATTTTCTAGCAGTTCTTATCTCCTTGGATTTTATTTTTTTAGGACAATTCTGATTAACCTCACTCAAAGCACAACCTTTTAGACTGTAATTCTAAAAGTAGAAAGTGCATTCTTGAATTCAACCTTCACTAATGGTCATATTACCAAGAAAGTCAAGTAGCAACTACATGTTCACCCATCCAATAAAGACATTCCTATGAATCAGAAAATATTAAGCAACATTTGACAAGGATATGTTGTTGCTGACCTAAATTACTTGGCATATTGCAGGACCTACAACAGGTATTGACCATGATTTCCAGTGCTCACACCTGAGAGTAAAATTGAAATAAGGCTGATCTTTGTCAGGACTATCAGCGAATAGAGATGATCATTCATGCGCATTGACAGCAGCAGAATAAGTTGAGTCATCCCTTTTTTCAAAATCATTAAGCTGCCAAATCAAGATATTTGGCAAAAAAAAATTCACCTAACTCCCATAAGGCATTATTGAGAAAAATATACGAGTACAGGAAGCCCAAGTGGGACTGGCAGTGGATCCACCAACACAAGAATCCAATGTGGAGAGACAATTAATCAACTCCCAGGCCTGAAAGCCTTCCCTTTGACAAGGTCTGACAAACTTGCAAAATGTAATGTGTTTTTTACCCCTAACATGACAAGTGTTTACCACTAAGGAGTCTGATAAGCCCTTGATAGGATGGATTTTTATAACATTTTTGTATGATTCCTTTTGGAGTCAAAAATAGGTATAACTGCCTTCTACTGTGATTACCTTGACACTATGTATGCAGGACATACATAAGGGACTTGTCCAAAATGAAATAAAATTCCTGAAGAATACCAGTCAGAGGCAAGAAACATTATTGAGAATCAGACGGTGGGGTCTGTGATTTCCATTAATGTTTTTCTCTGTTCTGTGCAAAATGTATATTTATACCGGATCCTAAGACATTTCATCCACAATAGACCACATTCCTCAACCAGAAAATCAAACTAATGCCGCTGCCCTTCCATTCGTATGGAATGTGTTGCATGATCTCAGTTGTTTTTGTTCCTTTTAATTTCAACTGTAACTATACAATTACACTGAGCATACTTGGAAAGCAGCCACCAAGCTTTTTACAGTGAATAATAAATACATAGATAGGCAGATATACAGATAGTTGAATGGATGGATGGATGGATGGGGGGAGGGGGAGAGGGGGAGAGGGGGATAGGGGGAGAAGGATAGGCGAGAGAGAGAGAGAGAGAGAGAGAGAGAGAGAGAGAGAGAGAGAGAGAGAGAGAGAGAGAGAGAGAGAGAGAGAGAGAGAGAGAGAGAGAGAGAGAGAGAGAGAGAGAGAGAGAGAGAGAGAGAGAGAGAGAGAGAGAGAGAGAGAGAGAGAGAGAGAGAGAGAGAGAGAGAGAGAGAGAGAGAGAGAGAGAGAGAGAGAGAGAGAGAGAGAGAGAGAGAGAGAGAGAGAGAGAGAGAGAGAGAGAGAGAGAGAGAGAGAGAGAGAGAGAGAGAGAGAGAGAGAGAGAGAGAGAGAGAGAGAGAGAGAGAGAAGAGAGAGAGAGAGAGAGAGAGAGAGAGAGAGAGAGCAGAGAGAGCGAGAGAGAGAGAGAGAGAGAGAGAGAAGAGAGAGAGAGAGAAAGAGAGAGAGAGAGAGAGAGAGAGAGAGAGAGAGAGAGAGAGAGAGAGAAAAAGAGAGAGAGAGAGAGAGAGAGAGAGAGAGAGAGAGAGAGAGAGAGAGAGAGAGAGAGAGAGAGAGAGAGAGAAGAGAGAGAGAGAGAGAGAGAGAGAGAGAGAGAGAGAGAGAGAGAGAGAGAGAGAGAGAGAGAGAGATACAGCATTGCATATGTATATATATATACAAATACAAAGAAGAAATTCTAAAAAGCATCAATTGTAATGGGTACCACAAGATTTTCAAGAAAATGTTGTTACGAGCCATACTTCTATTGTGGCTTTCCTTCAATTCCAGAATCCACAGCTGAGATGACAGCGCCTCCATTGCTCTGCAGGGATATGGCAGCCCTGCCAACAGCCCCAGCATCAGCAAACACACCCACATCCTGTAAAGCAAAACGAGCAGTCAGCATACAGGAAAATGCTGAGTGAAAAACATGACAATACATTATGAACTGTTTGATCATTATTAAGCATTTTGAAAAGTTTCATTATTCTTTGTATAATAAATTATCTGTGTGATTTCTTCCTCTTTATATTTTTCACTACATGTTGGGTTGCATTTGGGTGTACACCCTTTTCTTGGTGTTATTTTATCAAAACAAGGTATGTATAATCGTATTTGTTATTTTACTTAAAATCCTTATTTGAAATGATAGTCATTTTCCTGTGAGATTCATATGGATTTCTGTCTTTCATTTTTGCTGAGTGAAACATTCATGAAACACTTATTATAAGTAAATACATTTTTTTTATTAGTCTTCCTATTTTTTGACATACTAATATTTTTGTCTTAAAAATGAAAACTTTTTGTTAAACTGAGTTACCAGGAAGTCACTGGTTATCCTAGATATTTTTCCAATATGCATTCATTATAATTTGGGAAAGGGTGAGGAGAGAGAAGAAGAGAGGGAGCTAGTTAGTCAGAGAGAGAGGGAGAGAGAGGGAGAGAGGGAGAGGAGAGAGAGAGGGGGGAGGGGGAAGAGGAGGGATGGAGAGAGAGAGAGGAGCAGAGAGAAGAGAGAGAGAGAGAGAGAGAGAGAGAGAGAAGAGAAGAGGAGAGAGACGAGAGAGAGAGAGAGAGAGAGAGAGAGAGAGAAGAGAGAGAGAGAGAGAGAGAGAGAGAGAGAGAGAGACGTAGAGAGAGACACAGCAAGACGGAGGGGGAGAGAGAGAGAGAGGGCGCGAGAGACAGGACGCACGAGGCGGACGAAAGAAGACCGCACCGAGCCAGGGAGAGAGGGATGAGCAGAGGCCGGACTCTCAGAAGAGAAGAGGATCAGAGAAAGGAAGAGGACGAGGAGAGAGAGAGAGAAGCACAGCGAGTTACATATCTATCAGTGAGAGATCTACGAAGAGAGGAGAGAAGAGAGAGAGAAGATGAGAGAGGAGAGAAGAGAGATGATGAAGGCGGGGAGACCGGGAGAGGGGAGACGGGATGAGACCAGGAGAGAGAGCGACCCGGAGAGAAGCGAGATGAGAGAGACGAGGAGAGAGGAAGGAGAAGAGACGAGAGAGAGGGACGAGGACGGAGAGGGACGAGGGAGAGGGAGCAGGGAGAGGTGAGAGAAGAGAGACGAGAGACGAGGAGAGAGAGAAGAGAAGAGAGAGAGAGAGAGAGAGAGGAGAGAGGCGAGGGAAGAGGGAGAGGGAGAGAAGAGAGGGAGACGGATGGAGGAGAGAGAGAAGCGAGAGAGAGAGAGAGAGAGAGAGAGAGAGAGAGAGTAGATAGAGAGAGAGATGAGAGAGAGAGGATGAGGAAGAGGAAGGGAGAGAGAGGGAGAGAGAAAGAGGAGGAGGGAAGAGGGAGGAGAGGAGAGAGAGAGGGAGAGAGAGAGAGGAGAGATAGAGAGGAGAGAGAGAGAGAGAAGAGAGAGAGAGAGAGAGAGAGAGAGAGAGAGAGAGAGAGAGAGAGAGAGAGAGAGAGAGAGAGAGAGAGAGAGAGAAGAGAGAGAGAGAGAGAGAGAGAGAGAAGAGATAGAGATAGAGATAGAGAAAGAGAAAGAAGAGAAACGAGAAAGGAGAAGAGATAGAGATAGAGAGAGAGAGAGAGAGAATAGAGAGAGAGAAGAGAGAGATAGAGATAGAGATAGAGATAGAGATAGAGAAGAGAAAGAGAAAGAGAAAGAGAAAGAGAAAGAGAAAGAAGAGAGAAAGAGAGAGAAAGAGAGAGAGGATGAGAGGGAAGAGGAGAGCAGAGGCAGGATGATAAACAGTAATTCCTTTTGCAGTTTAATACTAATCATATCAAAATAAAAAAATATATAAATCCTTTCATTATAAGCAATATAGTATTATCTCTGAACTTTTCATTACATTATTCTCTATTAGGTTTAATCATCCAATTCCAGTTCCTCCTGTTCAGGTACAGCGAAAATAACAGTAATATCAATAGATTTTATTGAGAAAAATCAGAATTTTTATATGATAATGAATATACAATATATCTACACTACATCCATATGGAGGTATAGTGCTTGGTACAAAGATATTTTTTTATCCCAACTAAATTTGGTATATTGGTAATTCTTTATAGTATGAATGCACTCGCCAGAGACTAGGTCCCAAACTCCACATCAAAAAACATATTCATCAATCTAAGTTGCTGTGACTGGGCAACTGCCCGAGGAGAGGGTTGTTTTCACCTTGTATGCACAGCAAGATATACTTGCAGCTCAGGAGCACCGAGTGGACTAAGGCTAAGAGCGGTGCTTTCCATGACCCTTTCCATTTATTTGTGGCATTACTGTTCGTGTCTGCAGATTATTTCTTGTGCTCTGCAAGAATATCTTATTTAGTGTGTCCATACCTTAAAGATTAACCAAATCTTTTATTGCCTTCACAATCATAATCATAATTTACATCAACAAATTATATTTATATTTATCTGCCATCTCACTTAAAATTATTGTCTTTTTTAACCAGTGTCTGTATATGCACTCTTAATTTAATTATTAACCATTAACATCATCAACATCACTATTCGCTTATCCCCTATACTTTGAGAAACCCAGGACTAGTATGAAAGCACTTTCACCAGTACTCATAAACCAATTAATATCACCATGTTCTTTATAACTCAAGAATGTCAAGACATACTCTCATGTATCATCATCATCATCATGGGGGCTGACGCCGACGGGGGCGCATAGCCGCATCCACCCTTCGCTTCCACTTACGAGGATCCCTCATGGCTAGACGCCAGGCAGGGACTCGGCCCATCTCTAGTTCTTCACGGCAGGTTTGGTCGATCTGCCCAAGCCATGACTTCCTCGGTCGTCCCACAGGCCTCCTCCACCCAGGGTTGTCTCGAACAGAGACGACCTGATGGGCAGGATCATCCTGAGGAAAGCGAGCCAGGTGGCCGTATAGCCTGAGTTGGCGATCACGGATTGTGCAGATAACAGGTCTTGTGCCAGTCTCACGGTGCAACCATTGGTTGGACACGTGGTCCCGCCAACAGTACCCCATGATCTGGCGCAAGGACCTATTACAAAAGGCTTCAAGACGAGCCTCCAAGGCACAGGACAATGTCCAGGTTTCGCTATACCGCATTATCAGGGCCTTGAAAAGTAGCTTGTTTCTGCCAAACCGACATCTCAAAAACACGTTGAGAGTTCATGACAGCCAGGGAAAGGGGATTCTGACACTGAGAGAGTTATGGTATGTATGTAAGCTCTCTGTGACTTCAATGTCCTCGCCGCAAGCACGTACCGACTGAACAGGTTCTCCTAACAAGTCCCCAAATTCCTGGACCTTGGTCTTGGTCCAGGAGACCTCTAGACCCAGGGGCTTCGCTTCATTGCTAAATGCATCGAGAGCCGCCACTAGGGTTTCCAAAGACTCAGATAGAATGCAACGTCATCAGCAAAGTCAAGGTCTGTAACCTTGATATTGCCCAGCGTTGCCCCACAATGACTTTGAACAGTAGCTCTGCCCAGTATCCAGTCCATGCAAGTGTTGAAAAGAGTTGGTGCAAGGACACAGCCTTGCCTCACTCCTGAACTAACAGGAAAGAAGCTCGACAGGCCCCCACCACACTTTACAGCACTTTCAGTACCAGTATACAGGCTTGCTATTAGTCCAATAATCCTTGTTGGTATTCCTCTCAGCCTCAGGATCTCCCAAAGTGACTCCCGATGCACCGTATCGAACGCCTTCTTGAGGTCGATGTAGGCTGCAAGCAGCCCACGCCCGAACTCACGACGGCGCTCTACAATGACTCGAAGCGCGAGGATACGGTCTATTGTGGACTTACCAGGAGTGAATCCGGATTGCTCCAGTCTCTGGTGCCTCAGTAGATGGTCTCTGATACGTCTCAGAAGGATGTGGGCGAGAACCTTGCCTGGTACACTGAGCAGTGTGATGCCTCGGTGATTGCTGCAGTCCCAACGGTCCCCCTTCCCCTTCCAGAGAGGGATGACCACACCCCTCAACAGGTCAGGAGGAACGGAACCGGACTGCCAGATGGCAGCCAGGACAGCATGTAACCCCCGTGCCATAGGTTCACCACCAGCCTTTAACAGTTCAGCTGGTATGCCGCAGATACCAGCTGCTTTACCACTCTTCAGCTTGGAAATCGCCCCCCTAACTTCAGTTAGGGAGGGAGGGTCCTCACTGATAGGTGGATCCAGCGGGATCTCGACACTACCCGCATCCAAGTTAACTGTTGGTGGGTCAACCTGGTACAGCTGCTCAAAATACTCAGCCCAACGTCCCGCACCGCAACAGGATCTGAAACGATCTGACCACTTACTGAGCGAACTGCTGTCACCTGTGAAGAGGGCTTGGAGTTCAGCTTTCTCAGGGCTTGGTATGCAGGACGAAGGTCATTTACTAAGAAATGGCCTTCTACCTCCTCTGCAAGACTCCTAATAAAACTGTTCCTTGTCCCTTCTTAACAGGGACCGAGTTCTGCGCACATGAGAACGGTGCAATTCCCGATCCCCTGTCAGACGAGCCGCACGACATGCATCTGTGGCTTCCAGTGTCTCCTGCGAGATGGAATTCTGTACTGCTCTCGGGCGTACACCAATCGTATCTTGAGCTGCATCAAGCGTTTCACGCTTAAAGGTATCCCACAGAAGAACAGGGTCTGTCAGACTGCCAAGCACTGCGAAACGATCAGAGATTGCCTCAGCAAACCCGCGGGCACACTCCCCCTCCCTCAGCCTGTCCAAATGAAACACCCTAGGGTGATCATTTGACCGCTGGGGGGTTTTGAAGTGGACCCGGAGGGTAGCCACAACCAATCTATGGTCAGTACCACAGAACTCAGCACTCCTGTACACCCTGCAATTCTGAAGGATCCTCCAACGAGTGCTAACAAGTATGTGGTCGATCTCCTTGGCTGCGTTACCCGCATCACTGTACCATGTCCAGCGATGTGGGTCTGGGCGCTGGTACCAGGAGCCAGAAATCCTCAATTTCTGGGACCTAGCAAAGTCCCGGAAAAGGAGGTTATTCTCGCTACCGGCATCAGCTCCATGTATGAAATAAAATAAAGCTTACTTCCTTATATCATAATAATTTCTTCTATATAAAAATTGCTGTCTTTGAGCCTACACTTCACTACTAAAATAAAATCTGTTGTGTATATACAGTATGCTAACTCCCTATGCATCATCTTATAATTTTGTAATTCAGAATGGAATTAAAACATGTAAGGAAAACTCTCCTCTCATGAACATAAAGCTAAATTTCTTTTAGCTATAGTCTTAAATAAATCTGTTTAGTAGAACAACTCTGCATCATCAGTCTTAGATATTATATTAACTAAATATTAAAACATAGTTATCTGGAAATAAAACAATATTTGTACTTGGTTTAGGTTTATAATTCACCTAGTGCCAATGGAAAAATTATAAAGTACACCCAAGAGAAGTTTTAATCAAAAGTTGTTCTGCCTCTAAACAGGTAAGGTTTTCTTTCTCCATAACAATTCTGATAAGCAATGTTGGGGCCAACACCTTCCAGATGTACTTATTGACACTACTTTTTCCATAGAGTCTTTGGATATGTGAGGAGAATTGTTCAATTAAAAAATCAATTATGTACAGTATTTGATCTTCGGAATAAGGATGGTAGATCAGTTCACTTGTCATTTCCCGCAGTTCCCTCCCGCCCCGCAAAAAAACATTGTGCCTTTTATTAGATTCCTGGCCTTCTATCACCCTCCTCAAGAATGGAAATAAAGCTTTGGTCTGTTTCTCTATATCTTCAATTGCCATTGTTGAGAGTTTATTGCAAACATTTGAACTGTTCTTTGGTACCAAAGAAGCACTGGTTTCTTCCTCTTTGAGAACCAAGTGTCCCCCTACTAATGAGGACTGAGGACTTTTGGATGGAGTGCAACTATGTGATGAGAGGGTTGCTGATCTTTTTGATGGTTTCCTTCTGACAAAAGTTTGCTTTAACTGAACACTTGCTCTCGTTCCTCTCTTCCTTTGCTTTGGTGAAGGAAAGTCCTGCTTGTAATGTATTACTTGTAGTTTTCCATCATCTGTTCTATTAACTTCCACCCTCTCAAAATTCCAAAACTCCAGTGGTTTTAGTCTTACCCTACCACTGTGCTTGCTCACATCAACCTCAGTCAAAACAGTTTTTTGAGGAACTGCCAAAGCATTCGGCTTCCTTTTTGATAACATTTCAGAAGGCACCTTCTTCCCTTTATCATGACCTGCCTGGGTCTCTACAGGGTCTCTCTACTTGTTTTCTTTTCTTAAATAAATTTCTTGCCTCCATCTTTGGTTTATCTGAATGTAGGTTATGCGTAATTTTTCTGAATTCAAGTCACAAAACTGAAACGACAGAGCTTGACAGGCTGATTCCAGGACTTCAACAGCAACCTAACTCCAAGCTTGGTGCCACTGAGAGAACCTGAAAAGGCATATATAAAATCTTACAAGGCAACATTTTATTCTCTCCCCTTCCACAATAAAATATCAATGTCTAGCTCACTCTCTGGGGGATAAGAATATTTACAAATAATAAGATTATCCTTAATTCTTTAAGGCAAGACTAAAACCTATACTTAGAACATAAATTACATTTAGGAGAGTCACCTGTATAAAGCTGTAATTAACTTTGGCAAAGACCAACAAACCTGCACTATGTACATCCTGGCAAGATACCTAATGTCACCCTACCTTTTTAAATAAGAAACCAATTTAAACTTTCATCTTGGAGATTGGATGACCTCTGGTAATTCACAATTTACAAAGCAGAGGGCAAAATGATGCTTCACACAGTCATACTCTAATCACTTACTTTAAAAATCCTTGGCAATCACAAAACTTGTAATTAATGAAACCCCCACAGGCTCTTGCATTTCTAATAACCTCACGTTTTCACCTTTTACCCTCGAGATTACGGTTTTCACATTTGAAGGGCTTAATTATATAAAGCAGTATATAAACCATATTCATGTTGACAAATGTGGAATGGTATGAATGAGAACGAATATCTTCACAATACAAGAGATGTATTTTACCGGTTTCGATTATATCTGCGTCAGAAATACATGAACATGTATTCCTGATGAAGATTTAATCGAAACCGGTAAAATACATTTCTTGTATTGTGAATATATTCGTTCTCATTCATTCCTTTCCAAAAAGCAGTATATGTAAGATGGTATTTCAAATAGTTATGGAACAATATAGTATCAAAAGTGAAAAAATTATCTATTGTTATTATTTTTGCATAGCAAAAATAATAACGATAATGACCACAGACTGAGTGGGATGAGAAGCCACCCTGAAACATGGGAGAAGCGATAGTGGGGTAGAAGGATGTTCAGCTAAATAGCAGGGAATAGCTCTCAGGCCCTAGAGGTGGAGAAAAGTTGCTAAACAGTATCAGATATACTGCTTTGTCCCATTCACACCAAATTCATCATCATCATTGCGGAGCTAACGCCGACAGGGGCGCATAGCCGCATCCACCCTTTGCTTGTACCTGCGAGGATCCCTCAAGGAAAGTCGCCAGGCAGGGACTCGGCCCATCTCAAACTCCTCATGACAGGTTTGATCGATCTGCCCAAGCCACGACTTCCTAGGTCGACCCACAGGCCTCCTCCACCCAGGACTCTCTCGGCAAGGCCCACCTCCCCCGAGCCTCCCATTAACCCCAGGGGGTCTAGGGGCAGGAGTTGGTACAGGGCCAGGGCATGTCCACACGCCGGTGGGCCATGACCCTGAACCTCTGGGGCCTCCTGCTGCTCCGAGATCCCCCTGAGTTTAGCCTGGAACCGCAAGGCACCCAGTTTCCATGGGAGGCCACGAGGAGGCACAGCAGGGAGTCTCGATGATGGAGAGGCTATGAACTGGCAGGGGAGGCTTATGCAGTGCTGCTCCCTTTTTCACACTAGGCTAGCCAGCGGTGGCAGCTGTAAGCGAAAAGGCATGCAAGCTCTTAACACTACCTAGACTACCACACCATCGCTTCACACCACCCTGCGCGTGAAGCACCTACACCAAATTAGAGATTGGAAAACAGCAGACCAACTTTTACCAAATTAATAATGAGTACTATGGTAACTGGTATCAATTCACAATTGTAATTAACTGCATCCTACATATTATTCCTGTGCATCTTAATAGAAGGACTTTTGGTTTTAATAAAGTGAGCAAATTAATACTGTGCATTTTTTAAGACTACAAAAAATAATGCTCAGCACAAAACCTTTCCACTTCTCTGAATTTGTGAATAGCTTTCTCATAAAGAGAAGATAAACAATAAACACAATTTCATTTTCTTTTCTTTTTCTTTCTTTGAAATCATAGTTTCACAGGCCTATATCGGGAGAAAAAAAGTGGGGCAGATCTCTCTCTAAATCATAGACCCACAGAATTTTCAGTGTAACACGATTTTCGCCTAAAATCTCTGAAGAACTATGCTTGCCTACAAAATATCTCAGCACAATTTCCCAAAAGCAACATAAGTATATTTCGCGATCTCCGTCGGATAAAAATAAAAGGAATCGAAGAACAGAAATCCCTCTTTTCAAATACCAAAAAAATAACAATAAAGGGGAATGATTCTCACAAGTTAACCCGCTGGGCTATAGCTTGGGACATTAACTGCTTCAAAATATAGAAAAACACACAAAAATATACCTCAAGTGTGTAAAATTCTCTTTATTTCACGAGACTCGGAGATCCGAAACACGTCCAGGGACCACCTCAACGACCCGCGTCTTTAACAGGAATAGTCTGTTCGCATACATCTTTCTGTATTTGTAGCCTCTATCATTCCTTACTCATATATTTCACTTGTGATATAGATTTCCATGAGGTTCAATCCGTGTATCATAGGTTATGATCATCATTTAAAGCATTTTTTATTAAGAAGACGTATGAAATAGACTCCTATCCTTGTTTCTATATGGGACATGCTCACTGGGTATCACGCATTTATCTGTTTATATGACTATAAGCAAGCAGCAGCCCATCATATTTTCTAGAGACATGTCATTATTATGGATTTCAATAAAAGGAATAATGTGTACTGTAAAGATTTGTTCACCTTGTTATTATTAGATGGAACATGGAATGATGGAAGGCGATGATAGCAGACGACACTGATTTTGGTCAAACCTTTCAGACAAATGAATTATTCAAATTATTATAGTTATTTATATCTAATATCATGTTAAGTCATTTACATGGCTATAAACACAATATAGGTGTAATTTTTACCTTTGATCCATAGTTTTTTGGTTTATGTTAGCAGCAGACGACACCTGTTTTCCTTTAGATTTACTAGTGAACAAAAAACATATAGAAATTAAGTAATTATTAAATACTATATATTACTAAATCCTTTTGAATGGCAGTGGTTTGGATGCAAGGACATTTTTCTCTTTGTCTTATCCGGTCTGCTGGCAGACGTTGACAGCAGACGATCGGAGCCACGAATGTCAACAAACCGATGTCATAGTGAACAGACGCTCTCCCATTTTTCCCTTTTTCGACTCCAAAGATGACTCGGAACGCACTCTTATCGCTGTGGATGATAGTGGGTGTGGCAGCGGGAGGCGGGTGGTGGAGGAAGAAATAGGCGTAGGAGCCGAGAGATATAAATAGAGAGTTGTCCTTCCGGTGAGCCCACAGGTCTTATATGTTTTCCAAATTAAATGAACTAATGTTAATTTCTTATGATCACGAGGAATTCTATTCCAAGATCAAGGGGACGTGAGTGATGATGATGAGAGATGCAATATTGATATCTTACTACTCTTACTACTTTCCAATGGAGGTGCACTTTTTTGTATGGAATTCGTTTATTAGATATGCATACTATTGATCCATTTTTTTTCCTGCAAAGAACAAAAAAAAAAAAGCCTTTTTGCCAGAACAGAAGCCTTCTAAAGATTCTAAGAAGCTAATGTTAACTAAAGTATACACTGGAGAGTGAGGAAAGTGCTCCTGTGTCTGAGAACTAGACTATAAACTATGAACTGAAGCATGAGCAAGATGGCTCTATGAATATTGTCTTGCATAGCTCGTATAGCTTTGCTTGAGCTTTTGCATAGATTGATTGAATGTAGAATTAGATATTAATATATATATATATATATATATATATATATATATATATATATATATATATATATATATATACTGTACTAGTATCAAAAGCTTAAGGCATAGATAAATGATTTGGTTATTTTTTTCAATTATGACAATCAGGACTTCCCAGACAATATTTATATCATCAGATTTATTCTCGTGTGACGAGAATAAATCTGAAGATCATTTCCGTAGCAATCACAGCCGATGATCTTGATGTGTTAAGTCCCGATAATAAATAAAGGAGATACACTACAGATAAGAGAGAAGATCAACCCATTTTTTTTTTTCTTTGCCATATTTGTATCACAAATATTTACAGTACTATTACCGCTTAACTCATTCCTAGTTCAGGTATTACTATGCGCTTGTGAAGACAATTATTTTGTAAATTTCACTGTCTGACTTTTAGAATTCATGTATGCTATGCATTCTTGTATTTTTGATATTTTAATAAACTTTATACGTGTTTTGATAGTTTTATGCTATTCTTTACAAAAACCTGATGTGCATTTGCACAAAGTAAATAGTATAAAAAAGATAAGTAGATGACACATAAGATGTACAAGTATAGGTTATTTGAAGTAAAAAAAAAAAAGCTACATTAGAGGAGAAGAAGAAAAGGCTGCATGGGTATGAATGCCGCCTTGATAAGCATCAGTTGCTTTCCAAAAAAAAAAAAATGATTTAGGTGACTTTCTAGAGCATTTTTTCCCCCTGGTGAAGGCTTTTTCGATGAATTGGGTCACCATTGTTATGGAAAAGCAGTGGTGAACCGATTTACCTTCCTTTCACCTGTGTGGAAATTAATGATAGCATGCTTTTTATATAGAATTTGTTATAAGTCAGATTGAGTATTTAGTTCATATAGATTACACACTGCTTTTACGTTTTCTTTTCTTTTCTCCCTTTTTCTTTCCTTATATATTTTCTTTTCTTTGCTTTCACTCTACTTTTTAGATATCCTACCGCAACTGCCGAATTTCAGTGTGTATTCATTTATTGGCCCTCGGGCTTCTATAAATAATTTATCCATGAATGTGTAGAATAATTGAGTAAGAGAGATATAATACATCCTATTGTTTTCTTAGAATAGTGCTCAAAGTACATAACTCACTTTGCTATTACAGGGAGGATGGGTCCTTTGTGATCAACAATGTCCCATCGGGGTCGTATGTCGTCCAGGTGATGAATCCCACCTTCATATACGAGCCACTGCGTGTTGACATCAACTCAAAGGGGAAAATAAGAGCTAGGGCTGTGAATCACATCCAGCCATCCAATGTTGTGCAGGTAAGAGCCAGAGACTGCTATACAATCCTCTTCCTGTTATAAGTTGTTTTGATGCTTCGTTGTTCATGTCAGTAGTGTTTTTTTTATTTGTGTTCATCAGCCTATTACAGCTTGAGAAGAAAAACATATCTTTTATTCACTCTCAAAAATATTGTAGTTACTGAAGCAAGAATTCTATTCCATGTGATATGCTTTTAATTGTGTGTTTGTGAAAAAAACAGCGTATTCTATGAATAGTCTTTCCATATACTTATTTATTTTTTATGTAAGAAAAAAAATGTTCATGAATATATCATGGATAACAGTGAAAATGAAAAATTTAGAATGTCAATTTTTATGTTAGATTGTAATTAAAATATATGAAGTTATGATGATAATATCCTTTGGGTTTATGAAGTGTTCATTGGCGAATTGTTTCCTCAAAAAATCACACAGACTTTGAGCAAGGTCTGTTTAAATCCCTAGGAATATTTTCATCAACTTAGCCTTAATGTTTGCATTCTTTTCCTTTCCTTATTATATGGTATGCATTTTTAAAAATATTTCACTTCCAAGATCCTCAAAGGACATATACGTTTCAAAAATAGAAACAAGGCTCAGTGTATTGCAAACATCAACATATTACAAACGAATGTAGCTTAATTTCTCCCTTTATATTTGACTATTTCATATTTATAATATATATTACCTGGTGTCAATGAGCCTCAGTTGTACTTGCAAATTCTGAATCACTAATTATAAATCACTATCTGCAATAGATGCCAATTCTGAATCACTAATTATAAATCACTATATGCAATAGATGCCACATCCTCTGAGAATGAAGTCCTTGGGACCCTACCGCTACTTCCTTGAGCGTGAGCAACTACGCATAACGGACTTCCTCATGAACCCTATGGTATTGATGACTGTCCTCCCACTTGCCCTCATGATGATTCTGCCAAGACTCAACGACCCTGAGACGCGCAAGGAGATGGAACAGATGCAAATGCCCAAGATGGACACTCCAGAACTTTCAGAGATCATGACATCCCTCTTTGGCGGAGGAAGCACAAGCCACAACCAGGGGGCACAGCAGAAGACCAGATCACGCCCAAATAAACGGAAGGAAAAATTAACCTAATGAATCACTATTTTTATCAGCAAAGCAAATTATGTACCCCTGTGTGTAAAGAACTATTTATACTGACTATCGTATAAGGGATGTGTATCATTTGTCTGTTGACGTGTTGCCTTCTGAGATTGTTTCTTTAGCAAATGTTCTTTTATAGGAAAGAAAAATTAATGTGTGCAAGGAAGTGCAACTGCAGTGAAGTGAGCATTGTCACAAAAAAAGTTTAATCTAAGGGGCAACAGGAGCAAATACCACATAAGGTGTGAGTGGAAGAATTAAACTTTATCTATGTGTATGTATGTGGGAAAGCTATAAAATGAAATAAAAAATAAATATTGGAACCAGCCTTTACATTTTAAAGATGAGAAGAGCAAATAAACATGTTTTAGCAACTTTGTTGATAATAGATTTAACATTCTTTTCTTTCTGGTGTTATACTAGACCTTTTGAATTCAAATTGAGTTACAGAACTCGGCTTTTTGTTTGTTTGAGTTGATTTTTTTTTTTTTTTTTTTTTTTTTTTTCTTCCCCCCCACCCCCTGGACATACACTCTTGTTCAACTTTCCAAAGCATTCAAGTGCAAATATTAATCTTTTCTTGATGCTGTATATGTGCTTAGTTATAAATATTTGATAATAAAAGTGCCTACTTCTTTTCTAGTTAGAGTTTCTTCCCAGTGACAGAAGGCAGTTTATCATCAGTAATAGCTTGCATTATATGGCTGAACATTAATACTACTAAATTCTGACACTGAAAGTATGTATAGAGAATGTAGTTTGTTAGTGCAGGTATTTACAAGTGAAATTGTCAGATAGTTCACTTTATGGAAGAAAAAAGCTGAATGATGTAAAACAGAAAAAAAAATCTTTTTATCAATGTATTTAATTATAGAAGTGCATCAGGCTTACAGTGTATGGGTAATGCATAAATATAAGGCATACTTTATCCTTTTTTCATGAACTTCTTCATCAAACCACAATATACTGATGCATTTACGATATATTTTTTAGCTTTTGTCTGTTTCATATACACTTTTGCTACATGGCATTGGAAATCCTATTTTGCATTGAAGATCAGAACTAAGAATATTTGAACATCACCTGTAGTAAGCCATCAAAATTCTGTGAAAGGGTTCCTGTTCTTTACCACTTATTGTACTTTCTGTGATGTTGTTGGTAACAGTTGAAAAGGTAGTAATGTACTGAAAATTATTCCAGTTATTGTTTGTAATATACTGCAGAATACTATAGCCACAATGAATCTTTAGACCAGTAAATGTAATAGTTGAACATTTCCCATCAACCATTAGAAGAAAGTGGAGAGAAAAAGAAATATGCAACTTCAGTTTATTTTTATTGAAATTAATCACCTACAGTAGCATGGATAAATAGTAATGTAACAGTGACATGAAAGAGAATGATTATGCCACTCATTTTGGCCTTTTTTTACCATTATGAATAATGTTAAACAGATTTTTTAATGATTTTTAGCATTTTTTTCATTGCCAAATCTCTTGTCACTATGTTCAACTGTTCATAGATGGTTATTACTTTCTGCATATCAATTGATTTGACCATTAATAAAAATAGATAAAAAAGATGGTTTCTTTGATTCATACCTCGTTCAAAACATAAAGTGGTTTATATGGAAGTAAACAAAGTAGTAGACAATTTTTCTTACCTGTTAACTTTAGTACTTCAGTAATAGTAATTTATTATCAGCTTTTCATTGAACACCCTGTGAAGTATGTCCAGAACATTAAAACAATAATAAATGTTTCTCCATTGCTTTCTTCTTTGTTAAATCTTAAAAAATCCTATAGAATATTTTGACTGATTGGGTATGACTGGAATGCTGGGCGTACACAAACACTCATGTGTGATGTTAAGACTCCTTGCCTCTCCTCTGCAATGTTGTTATCTCTTTTTCTGCATGTGTGTTTTGTTTTGTATTTTGCCATTTTCCAAGGTTAGTATTGGTTATTTGATATACTGTATCAAGATGATAACTTTTCTGCAATATTCAATAATAATAAGCAATATTTTGTTATTTGTGTATTTTTTTTTATATTTTCATATATTTGGTTTTCTGTAATACACCCTGACCCACAGTCACAGGCAGAAATAGGATCCCAAGCACGAAAATAGTATCCTCCCTGTAGCCAGCATTCAGTCAGTCATGGCTCACATATGGTACATGCCACACTGGTTTACTGTTGGAAATAAATACAAGAGTCCCTTCTAAATGCCCACCAAGTATAATGACTGTCCAAGAGCCTTGTAATCTTGTAACAAGTCATTCCCGTCACCCCTGCTTTAAGCCAAAATATTTTTGATGGCATTTTATGCTAGATTAAGCTAGCATACATCTTCAAATACTTATCTGCTCACAGAGGTTATTAAATGATCTTTTCCACTGAATTATAACATTTATTACAAGTAATAACATAAAGCCTTGACTTCAAAAAAATTATCTTCAATAACCACTCACTTGAGGGAATTTATAATATATAACAATATTTGTAGTCCAGTACAGGCCTCCACAAGAATATTTTCACTGGTCTGAAATTAAACCTAGCTATAAATAATCCCTAACATAAACTTACTCTAAAGCACTATCAATTTTTTCTCTAAAGAGTTTCAAGGAAGAGATAAAATCATTTCATACAAATATTTAGGAAAATCTTTGAATATTCTTAATAATTGTTACAATTCTAACCAGCTACTTATTGCTGAAGGCTTTGGCCACATAATATTTAAGAAAGGGAACGTATAAAAAAGTCTGACAATGAGAAAGAAAGGACAAATGATCTTTTAGACACAATATCTAAAATATCTCTGATCACCAAACCTCGATAACAAACAGTAAACAGTCCATTCTCCTCATTTTCAACAAAATAATATCCATATATTTTTCTCTCTCTATGTAATCTCTAATATTAATGGTCACCTTCTACTACGGGTAGGGCAAATTCAGAGTCTTGCGGACCAATCTCTCGGCTATCCTGTTGAACTGGTCCCTATCATCTCGCCACATCTTTGCTGCATCCACATTCGCACTGCTTTCATCATTGGGTTCTGGCCAAAGGGGAAGGGGGAAGATGTCTCATAAGTTTATAAAATGGACTTGAAGGATCAATGGCTTATCATTGGATCTTCGTACTCTGAAGGAGATCCTTTCTGTTGGACAAGCTTGGATGGGAAATTTCAGTTATGCTACCATCATGGATTTAATGTGATATGTATATTTCAAATATAGAAAAAAAAACAATGATCTCAAATGAATGGCAATCTGAAATTCAAAGATCTGTAATTTGAAGGAATATACTGAATATAAATTTGGCAATATACTGGTACAATTCCTTCTCATAATGTCCTATCAACTGTTTGTAAATATCAGTATCAGCATTAATAGATTCAAAGTTTAACAGTGCCATTGTTTTTCCAGAATTAAAACAACTGATAAAATCTCCCTAACTCTAATCTAGAACTACTTTATATTAAAACTCAACAACTATTTCTGGTCATGATAGTGAAATATAACCGTTAGTAGATTTGATCAACAAGAAGGAAGAAAGACATGTTTGCTGGAAATCACAAGAAAAAAAAATATGAGTCACGTCCGTCTTTAGACCGTCATACCTGATAACAGAAACCACTTTAAGACTAGAAAAGCTATCAGACCCTAGCTGATAGTTTTTATCTACTTTCATGACTGTACCTGACCCTAAATACCCAATGCTATATTTGAGCCCCTACTGACAACTCCAGCAGTTTTCCAATTTTCACAAAGAGCACATTTGTGTGTGTGTGTGTGTGTGTGTGTGTGTGTGTGTGTGTGTGTGTGTGTGTGTGTGTGTGTGTGTGTGTGTGTGTGTGTGTGTGTGTGTGTGTGTGTGTGTGTGTGTGTGTGTGTGTGTGTGTGTGTGTGTGTGTGTGTGTGTGTGTGTGTGTGTGTGTGTGTGTGTGTGTGTGTGTGTGTGTGTGTGTGTGTGTGAGAGTACTACTTTACACTTCTAATGTCATTTTTTTCTGATTCAGGGCCCAAAAATTATGAAAAAATAGACAATACACCCCTCTACCCACCTCTTTTTATTTTTCAAAGCCTAGTACTTTTGATCAGATGGGTGTAAATGGGCATGATCTTTTAAAACCAGAAGATGTGATTCTCATGGTGATGTCAAATATTTACTGACCACTGAATAAACAAGGCTGAAAATGGCATAAGCTCTGCAGGCATAATGCATGTGGAGGCCGATGGAGACAAAAACAGTTTTTTTACTGAGATTAGGAAGGGCTTTTAAGATGATCGATCACCAGTATTCAAGAAAAAAAAAAAAAAAGAATGGGATGGTCATTATGTACTCTTTGTGATTTTCTATATGCCAAATACTCACTGAATACTTAACATGGAGCTCAAACCAAATCAGCACATCAAAACACATTTTTTTTTTTTTTTTTTGTACATTTTCTGTAATCCCTCCTCTATTGATGCCACTTGGCTGATATGCTATACTTTAAATTGTCATCAATTGCCTATTTACAATAAAAAACATTTTACAATATTTCAGATCAAAATTTCTTTTTCTTAAAACAGTGGGAAGAAGTACTTCTTCCAATTATTTATGATACCACCAGAGAGAAAAATAAGAAAAAGAAAAATAGTACACATATACAGCCTTTTCATCAGCCCAAAAGATCACCACCAAATCTAATGAACTGGTCCCTAAACCTAGGCAGTCCACTTATAAATCTCTATCACTATTCGTCTGTAACTTTTCACATAGCTAATCCTGAAGAATGGAAAAACACTCTACCATGTTGATACTATGGTAGGAAAATCCACAATGCACAAATTGGATTTCTTGAAATATGTGAGACAATAGTTTTGGAATCGTCCTTGATTCCATGCTTAGAAGCATGCTACCCATCAAATATAGATAAATTACCAGACTATATATATAACCTCATCAGCAGAGAAAACTAATAACTAAACAATAATACATGAGGAAGGCCACCTATCCATTAACATTATAAGAACAGAATTCAACCTCAGTCTTTATCATTTAATAAAACTCTTACATCTGAATCCTAGTTCTATCTATACTCATAAAGATAGAGAAGAGGACATACTATGTGGCATAGTTGTGTTATTTATCAAACAAATATCATATTATATTTCCCCTAGAATAAAGAAGCTGTTGTCCTAAACCCAAATTTTCAGTAAAAAGATTCTTTCACACATGAAAAAAGAAAAAAGATGAAAAAATATAAGTGGTTTTGAAAAAACGAAAATTATCAAATTATCTCACCTGCCAGCATGGATACAACGGAGAGCAGGATTTTCTCAACACTTTGCACTGGACTCCATCTCTCTGCACTGGATTCATAACCCATGGGATCATCACCAGGAGCATGAAGAATTGAGATACATACTCTGCCATCTGGGTAAACTGAGAGAGGAATAATGTGTAAAATTTCAAAATGTTTCCATGCATCACAGTAGTAATAACACATATTCTTTTCTCATCTGATACATCTTCACAGTAAATATATTATTTCTTAAATTAGATAGGAAAGCATAAATGAAATAATTTAAATGCCAACTAGTACAGATAACCAACAACACTTACTATTTGGGTGAAACATCTCACAAGTAAACTGCATCTTGGGAGGAGATAGTGGGTAGTCAGGAGGAAAGATCAGTTTGGCTGGAAACACTCCACATTCGAAGCATGTTCCCTCAGGACCCCTGTGATTGAACAAAAGGTACTTATAACTTTTTTCCTTTTCATACTATAAGCTTTCTATAAAGCTGTATCATTAACACAATGGCAACCCCTTCAGTTCTGTAATCTTACTTTGTTCTGCAGTGCACTTGCAGTAATGACAAGATTATCTAGTCCTTCTTTTTATGTATCTAAACTAAAGCATATACCGAGGCATACCCATTGTGACATTTATGTACTTCTGGGATACTTATTTCTATTTTAGAAAATTTTTGCTAGAGACTTCAAAACCTAAAGAAGACAATAAGCCTAATACTATCCACTATCTAATAAATGCATATCTGTATTGATTAATGGTAAAATACAGGTTAACCAGTGTGTATGACCTCAAATTTTGAACTTGAAGGTAAATAAAGGCTGACAAAGAAAATAAAAATGTTTAAGAATCTACTAAACAGATGTCCAAATTAAATAGAAACCATATAATGACATGTATAATTCATTAACAATAATATGAAAAGGAAATTAAACAGTACACTGGCCAAAAACTGGAGTCACTGGGCACAAATGAAAGCATGGCACTTAAAAGTACCATTTCATACCTCATATACATAGGTTATTCTTGACTGTTTAACTTCAAAACAGTGATAGTATAAAACTATGCTAAAGAGCAAAATTTACATCAATTTCTAAAATGAAATACGAATCTTGCTACAATACTTAAATGAGCTGATATTACACCAGCAACTCCAAAATGTTCTCACGACAGAGTAACATTCTACAATGAACACAAAACATTTTTATAAAGCATAATCAATTATTGCTCACATTCTTGAGCCCACTCTGAAAAATAAAGAAACATAAAAAGTAGTTTAAAACAATAGTAATGAAGAACAAAATACCCTTGATACCTACATGATAAGTGCTTCCCATTCAAAAAAGTTTTCTTCATTTGTAGGACCTGCAATAATGCCTTCTGGTGGATTTAGTGTCAACTCTGAAATCACACAATTAACAGAGGTGATCAATGCCAACTAATCTCAGCTTTTTAATGTTCTAATGAAAAGCATTTATCACAAAATATATTAATTATCATAAAATGTCAAGTGGATACTACACGAGGAATATTATATGGCTCAATAGCAACCAACAAAACACATAGTTATCTTCATTAAGTTATTTCAACATTCAGAAATCACAGTAGCTGCAATATCTAATTAGCAAGAAATCACTACCATAACAAAAATGTTAGCAATAATGAACTAACATATGGTACCATTTTCTGCTTTCCTAAATTTTTCATTCGCAATTACCAGTTAAGAAATTTAACCCTTGTAATCTTCGTAACAAAATATAGAACCTCCCAAAGCGATAAAACAAACATAAATCCACACAACGAAAAAAAAATCCAGTATAGTGGTGCGATACTAAACGTTGATCATTCCTAATCCTGTTTTGAATGAGATTAAAAAAACAACAACTATATTCTTCATCTTACAAAACACATCATAGAACATACGTTTATATTCAGTCATCAGTCTCTTGAGTGCTCTCCCGGCCATGATGGAGAAGAAGAAAAAAGAAGAAATCAGGGTGGAAGACTCTTTGTTTACAAGGGGATTGTTTACATCTGTCAGCTGATCCGCTTCTCATCCGACACTGTTTTCTTGAGTTTATGCTTTCATTTGATGTCTTGATTTGTATATATGTATGATATGAATATACAGTATGTATCCATAGATGAATGCATAAAGTGATAGATATAGTGGGAGACAGATAGATATATAGATGGATGGATGAAATAGTTCGTCTCGCCTTGAATACCTTTTTCATGAAATTTTCAGTCCAAATCAAATTAGAAAGTTATAATGCTCTATCACTAATTTAGCATAATTACCCTAATTGCGAGCTACGAATATCTTGAATAAACCAAAGAAAGAATAAAGTATTTATAAATCCAACATCAAAGTCTCATATGTGTTGGTTCCACAACTCAGTGTCCCCGCGGTTCCATTGTCGTACAAACTTTCCTCCAATTTTTCTTGTATTTTCCACTATTTAATTGACTAAAATGCCGCGCCGACGGATCGTAGAGGTAATTTCAGTGTTGTTTCGTGTCTTCTGTAGCTATTTGGTGCCTTTTCTTAAGGTCTGATTGGTTCAAACGTCAATGACAGCGATGTAAATAATATAGGTAGAGTTCGGGAGTTACGTAAAAGATGAATTTTTCTGTCACACGAAATTGGTGTCAGTAATGCTGTGTTCGGAACTGCTGCAGGACAAGTTGGCCGCGGCCGTAATCTCCAAGACCCTTTCTGCCTAGAATGCAGCAGGCTAGAATGTAAACATTCACTTTTTATCATACCGGTGTCTTTATGTTATACGCTGCATAGGTTCTGTAACTCCTTTGATGCATATTTAACTTACCTGCAACTTACAAACACAAAAATATCCGTTGATAACACCAATAAAGGGTCATAAAATTGCCTACCAATATCTTGTGGTTACCTGCAACTGTCAGTGTTTACATACAAAAGCTATTGTGACATCATCTCATCCTGCTCGCCCAGCTTTGCAGAAGGAGGAGATGGACGAGATAGTAGAGGTTCCGAACGGTCAAAACATCTCGTCCAACTGGTCTGGACGAGCAGGACGAACAGTTCCGAATGCAGCTTGATTTTATGGAATAGATCCGCCTAATGTATTGTAACAGTTTTGTTATCAATGGATTATTCTCACTGTTCATATATATAGTAATTAGCAAGATTCTTGGCTGTGATAGCAGGGGAGAGCATGATAGTTACCAGGAAATTGCTTGGCAAAACAAGCAATATACAGTCAGTCACTAGATTGTCTAATGCAGAAGGCTGTGCCCCTGCAACACCCCCTCCCTCCCATTGGCGGCTATGACCTCCTAACACCTGCAATTGAACACAAAGAATCCTCTGCATATTCATGGCAGGAGAGAGCATATTACTGATGCAGGCACAGACCCTTAAATTAGATAATAAAGTAAGAGATTCTGTGTATATAATTTTTTATTTATATGCCCCACAATTTCCCTGGTACTTTTAATGCCCTTGGAGTCAAGAATGTGGGGATTGGGGAGGTTTTCACACAATATATTTGGATAGTAGAGAGTAAGAGGAATCCATCAATACCAAAATCATTGCAATCCAGTAGGCAGAACTATTCTGTAAAATTACCTTGGTATCTTAACAAATGACCTTGCCTTTCTCGCTCAGGCAAAAACTAACAAGTCTCAGCCTTGTAAAATTGGAAAAATGAAGCTGATTTCAAAATTGCCGATAAGTTGCAAGAGAGGTTGACAAGCTGTTTAGCCAGAACATAACTGGTGGTGTGTTTGCCTTTACTAATACCCAGATCACAGCATTGTAGGACTTACTTACATGAGAGTAAAGATTTGTAGATTTTAATAGGTGATCATGGCCATACCTTTAGTTTCTGCAGATTATTGTTATAGTAATTAGTCGTTTCTTGTATATTCTTTATGACTGCTACATTAACTTTACCTTATCTCTGTGTAGGCCTATTCTGACCATTTATCAGAGCAGCTATATAATATTTCCATTTTTATTTAGAAAAGTTCTTTTAATGTTTTTATGACAGGAGTATGATACAATAGAATAGACTTGTCCAAAAAAATAATTATATATTTTACGTAAGTATTTGGAACTCATCCAGAGTTATGTTGCTGTCTTGATATCAGCCATACCACCACAGAAGCAAATGCCAACAAACCTCTATCACACACTTGCTAGCAAGATAGGACTTGTACACCTCGCTGACAATTAATCATTAGAGAAGAATCAGTTTCAGCAAGTTAGACTATAAATGGTGAAGGAAAAGGCAGCAAGTTTTTGGCATTATCATATTGGACCTTCATAAATCACTTTCACTTATTTCACTTGTAGCCAAATTGATAATATAAAACCTTAGGAAACCACTCTTTAAAAACAGATTTTTTGAATGAAATCTTTTGGGATCTTTTTGGAGGTTTCCCTTCACTTTCCACCCTTTGCTTTCTGCTTTTTCAATGTCAGTGGAGAAAGTGCTCATACACATGTTGTATTCAAATACTTTCAATATGTTTGACACCTATGTATTCAGATATATTCACTTTCATGCCCGTTATTTTTTAGAAAATGTACAACCTAAATTGTTTGCAATTCAAGGACACATCATTTATTTGTGGCTGGTTTCCTATACTTTTTTTAGGATTCGCTCTTTCAACTGGAAATGATAAATTTACTGGTGTCAATTTATATATTTATACATGTGCATATGTGCATATATATTTGCATATATGTTATGAAAGAAAATTTATAAGGCTGTGAACATTTCAGGACAGCAGTGACGAGGAGCCGTCACAGAGCCAACCAGCATCACAGCTGTCACAGAGTCAGGGCGGTGGTGAGATCTCTGACCAGGACAAGAAAGTGCTTGCTGGCAATGTTTGCAACTACTTCTTGGTGTCTGATTGCAAAAAGGTAGTCTGAGGTTTTTAGTGGTAATGAGTGTCCTTTTTATTGTGTGGAAGCATTATTGATTTATTGGTTGCATAGTATGATTTGGCAGGTAAAGAGGATTTTTTTTTCCATGTTTAATATTGTTGTATATCCTCTCTTAGTAATAAGTTGTTTTTTAGGTCTTTAAGGAGATTACCAAGTCTAGATAATAGACATTTTTACAGGACCAGAATTTTACAGAATCTCTTTTCAGATTCCAGCAAAAAGATCAGATATTGTTAAGTCTGTCCTAAAAGACCATGGTAGACATTTCAAAGAAGTAATGGCCGAAGCTAATCGAATAATGGAAAGGGTATGTTGATTTTATTATGAATTATGTGCTGTTATTACTATTATCAACATCTATGTTACGCATACACATAAATGGTGGTCATTTATATTCACATACAGTCTATGTTTTTGTATATACATATAAACTGATTGATTTGTTTATATATTTATTTGTTTATTTACCAAAGACGTAATTTTTATCCCACTTCCTCACTCTCCCTTGTAAATGATCAGGTCTATGGGTACAAAGTATTTATATATAGATATTACATAGAACAATCCTTGATCAAACTCAAACACATGTAAAATGATACTATTCTACATATTTATTCTATGATATGATATACCACTACCAAAGACGTAATTTTTATCCCACTTCCACTCTCCTTGTAAATGATCAGGTCTATGGGTACAAAGTAGTGGAGCTGGAGAAGAAGAATCAGTTCATCATGATTAACACCCTGATGATGAACAATCAAGATGATGACGACTTGCTGTTGGCTCCCACAAGCAATAGTGAAGTGGCCAACATCGGACTCGTAACAGCCATTCTTGCTGGAATTTTCATGTCAGGCCAAGTGATGCAGGAAGGTAATGCTCTTCTCTTTTCATGGCCTCTCCTGAAGCTGAGGCTGTTCCTTGGTCTTTTACTCCTTCTCTTCTCCCTTTTCTCCTCCTCTTCCTCCTTTTCCTCTGTTCATTTTCATTGATTCTCCTCCTCTTCCTCCCCTCCTTCTCTTCCTCCTCCTCCTTCTCTCTCTCTCTTTCTTTCTCCTCTCCTTCTCTCCTCCTCCTTTTTCTTCTTCTTCTCCTCTCCTCCTCCTCTCCTTTTTCTTCTTTTTCTTCTTCTTCCTTTTCCTCCTCCCTCCTCCCCCTCCTCCTCCTCCTCCACCCCCTCCTCTAATTCCTTCTCCTTTTCCACACACTCTGTTTTTCTTCTTCTTCTCCTTCTCCTTCTTTTGCTTCTGCCCATCTGTCTACCTTTCAGAAATATGTGCAGCTCAGATGATGCAACTAAACAGACTGAGACTGATCTCCCTCATAGAGTGAGGTTGAGATCACGTGGTTACCCTGTGCATAATTCCTACTCATTAGTTTAAGTCTGATGTGCTGTGCATTTATAAGAAGTTATCCTTTTTTAATTGATTGTTTATTTCTATCGTTACTGTTGATATTATTGTTGTTATTGTTGTTAATATTGTCGTATGTATTATCATTGTCATTGTTTTTGGTGATGGTGGTGTTAACACTATTATCATAAACCTTTATCACCCACCACACCACCCATTATTTTTATTGTTATTATTATTTATTATATTATTATTATTATTATTATTATTTTTATTATTTTTATTGTTATCATCATCATTGTTAATATTATTGTAGTTATTTGTACCTCCTTTTTCAACAGAATCAACAGTAGTGGTAAGATTTTTTCTTTCATAAGATATTTTGTAGTTATTGTAACTGTAAGGACTACAGTGCCCTTTCATTCCAGGGCCAATGCGGGAGTATTTGAAAAAACTCGGCATTGATATTGACTCCCGAGAAGAGCACCCTACCTTTGGCAACGTCACAAGATATATTCATCAAGTATGTGGCAAAATTTAGCATCACTTTGTTTCCCCATGATTATTTTCTTTTATTTTTGTCTTGTTCTTTATTTCTTTTCTCCTCTTGGTCTTGTTTTTTGCCTTCTATTTAATCTTTTGTTTTTCTTTTCTTTTTCTTATCATCCCACATTACAGTCTTTATCTTGATCTCCATCATCTCATCCTCCTCCTCTTCATCATCATTTGCATCTTCTGCATTATCTTCTTTATCTTCACTTCTTCATCTACTTCATCATCATCATCATCTTTTCCTTCCTCTTCTCCTCTCCTCTCCTCTCCTCTCCTCTCCTCTCCTCTCCTCTCCTCTCCTCTCCTCTCCTCCCCTCCATCTCCCTCTCACTTAAGCCCACTAATTGACTCCTTGGTAATTAAGTTCTTATGAAGGCATTTTATGAAACAAATCTACATTATTTGTTCCTATCAGTAGTGGGTTAATAACCTTTTTCTCATTTAACCTGAGAACTTTAAGTTATGAAATCTGCCCATCTTTATGGTACTCAAATTAAAAAGAAAAAAGAAGTTTCAACCCATTCATGCATGGGAATTTTGGTACGTGACTGAACTCCTAACATTAAATTCTGTATGCATCTGTCACTGAAGCCAAGAGTAAATGCTGTGTGTAAGAGTTATTGAGGTATCAGCTGGATTTTCCTAACTCTTAGCCTTTTATTTCCAATTAGAAAATATATTATTAACCCATCAGCGACGGGTAAAAATTTTGTCAAGTTTACGTATGCACCGGCTTGTTGGCGCGCACTGGCAGTTTCCCCTGTTTGCGCCCGGCTCGATCGGTAGTTTGCGAGCGACATATAGCACCTAAAAGCTTTTATTTTGCTAAAATTTATAAAAATATTAAAATTTTGAAGGTTTACCTTCACTTTCGGTGCCATTGCCTAAAATCTTTACCATATAAATGAAGCCGCTACTAGTGGAGAAAAACAACCTCCGTCCGACGAGCCAATAGCGCGGGAATGGGCATGGCATGATGCCCCCGGCGTTTGGTCCACAACAGCCATGGCATGTACATACGTGACACCTGGCGCCAATGGGTTAATAACAAGAATGATCTCCTCAGGACCTTGTAAGACAGCAGTACCTCCAGATCACCCTGAACAAAGATGTGGAACCTCCCTCCAATGAATACCGCTGGGGGGAACGAGCACACAAAGAGTTGAGCAAGAAGGATATTCTCGAGTTAGTTTGCAAGGTGCGTTTAAACTTGATCTCTTGTTAATTTGGGAGTATGTTTGATTATTCCTTGGTTATTGATTATTTGGTAGCCAGCAGGGATGTGATATTTAGTGAATGTAGATTTTGTGACACTTAAATAAGATACGCATTGGAAATGCATGCAAACATTTTATTTAGTGTAAGATAAGACAGTTAATTGATCAGGAGTTTCTTATAATACCTACTGTATCTTACTTCAGGTGTATGGAAATCAGACTAGACCAGAGGATTGGGTTGCCCAGTGGAAGATTGTCAAAAAGGAGGAAAAAGAGAGCTGACATGTTTGTCATGTTACAAAGTCTTTTTTTTTTTTTACTTTCTTTCTTTCTTTCAAATTTTCTGTTTTTTCATGTGACATGAATGACTTTTTGTAGTCTGTTGCTAATGCTTGAATTATATTACTTGAATGTCTCTAAGAAATATTCCTGTTACTAGAATTGTAGTTGTTCTTAGTGTACACTTTTTAAGTCGGAATTGAGAGGAGTACATGAAATAGCAGATTTGACAGTCATTGATATTTTTATATATTTGTGCAGGTGCTCAGCATATAAATATTATTGATAAAGAGGAGTTTTATTTATATATCAGAAACCGTATTTATAAGTAAAAGTAATTTTGTGTTTGTGAGTGTGTGTGTGTGTTTGTGAGTGTGAGTGCTTACTTGCGCTCATGTGTGCATGGGTTTTAGGTGTAGATGTAGGGGTGTATCTTTTTGTATGCATCTTTTAATTTTTGTATGAAAGTATTGTAAGAAATAAGATCATCATAACATACCCAGGTAGTTTACTAGTTTCAGAAAATGCAGATGGTCATTTGTCCAGGCTGTGAGAGCATATCATTAAAAGATTACAAGTACTCTTGGTATAATACCAAGGCCAGTTAGTTTCTTTTGTGAGCAGGATATTTTTTAGTTTCTATGTATTGTAAACAAACTTGACTTGAGGGCAGATTATAGTTTGATATGGGTGCTATGATGATGGTTTGTGCTGATTTAAATGGTTCTACAAATTGATTCTTAAAATGGTCTTAGTTCATGTAATTTTGGCTCTGCCTTTTTGGCTTGAGTTTGATTATTTTCTCATTTATTATGCATAGTTCCATATCATTGAAAAATAACTTCTTGTTATTATTATTACTGCTGTTGTCCTGTGTAAGAGTGATTGTAGGAAGGTGGTTGAAATAGTTTTTTTTTTTTTTTTTTTATTTATTTATTTATTTTTTTTTTTTTTATTATTTTTTTTTTTTGTAACTGCATCATGGTTGTTGCTTGTATGATCTGAATGGAAGATCAGGCAACATGCTAATTTACTAGTGATTTTACTGGTGTTTTTATTTTAGAGTTGTATTCTCAGGTTAGAATTAGGTTTAGTA